GAGAGAGAGAGAGAGAGAGAGAGAGAGAGAGAGAGAGAGAGAGAGAATAAACTGTCATACATAACCCCCCATGAAATTTGTTTCAATGAAGTATAGTCTTACCGAGGTTGTGTGTGTGTGTGTGTGTGTGTGTGTGTGAGAGAGAGAGAGAGAGAGAGAGAGAGAGAGAGAGGAGGTGAAATGAACGTACTGAAGAGCCTTGCAATTTGGGCTCTCCTGCATTAATAGATAACTCAGATAACGGCTGTTTTTGAGAGAAAGCGATATAAAGGGAGAGGAAACGCGAGGGGGGAAGATGTGTATCCAGCTTAACACCAACTGTAACTACGCACCACGGGCATAGACGTTCTGAGGCATGGCGGGTTCTGATCGTAATTTTGAGTCAGTTTTTCTATGTAACTTACTACCATATAGCAATTTGTCATTATGTCATCCATCTTTGGAGTACAAGTTAAATACTTAGTCGAAGCCAGGGCAGGTCTGCGATTGATTGGATGATTGTTGTCGGGAGAGGTGGTTTCACCGGTTTCTATCTTGGAAACTACCTTCTTTTTGCAGCACATCACACCTATTGTGTATCTCCTGAGGCAATGGAACAATCCTGAAGAATAGTGAAGTGGGGATCCAAGCTGGCTACTAGACCAAGCACCGACCTATTCATGATTGGGCTCTGGTCACCCAAACATGTTAGAAGTGTTCTCGGAATTGGGTTGTTGTGATGCCATTGTTACAATTAGCGTCACAACATACCAAAACAGTGCAGCAGAGAGGGGGGGAGGTGAGTGCAATGGTCAGATGGAAGGAGTAGGGGGTGAAGAAGAGGGGGGAGAAAGTAAAGTATTGACAAGGGGATTACCAAATGGTACATAGCCAAACAGGTGGGTGAGACAAATGGTACATAGCCAAACAGGTGGGTGAGACAAATCGGGAGGAAGTGAGAATGGTTTTGCTGTTCCTGCAATAGTCAGTAACGGAATTTTTGAGAGGGGTTTGCTCTACCGTGAATACGGAGTAGGTGGCATAGTAGAGAGAGGGGGTTGCTGCCCAGGGTGTTCACAGAATGCCGCAAATGCAAATATGAGGCCAGTCAGATTGTTGTTGGGTGTATGGGGGGTTTATGGGGGTATATCTGGTGCACTTGCCGATTGCAGGCTAAAAAAGGGAATGGTGCAATATGTTGGACGTGGAAATTGGGGACTGCCTGTAAAACACCAGAAGTATTTAGAAATTGAAGCAGAGTCAATGCCTCACATTTACTAGTTTTACCAGTCTGCAATGGAGCGAACGGACCATGAGCCCGCCTTTTTTTGTGGAAATCATGTTCTAGGCAATGGGAGATTAGTTTGTGCTATGGGCGAGATTTGCCTGGTCGATAGATTGTTGTGTTTGGAGGAGTTTGTGCTTGAAAAGGAAAAGGCTTATACTACCATTGAACCTGGCGTTTTTTCTCCAATGCGGCCGTTAATGCGCCGAGAGTTGCGGCGGCCGGCTATCGAGGAAAAAGGGATGGCAGCACCAGCCAACGTAAACTTGTGCCTGTTCGTTTTGTTTTGGCCTGCATGGTGTTTCCGGGCTCAGCAAGGGGGAGGGTCAAAAGTACTGGTGTAAAGTAACGACATGACAAGTGCTTCACAGCTTTTTGGTTGTGTGGTGTTTTGGCATCCGATTGTGTGGGCTGACATTTGTCTGATGACTATTGTACCGACTGTGCTGGATGTCAGGAGGCTGTTCCGGAACTATCTTGATGGACCTATCCCGCCAGAGTATGGATTATTTGCAAATCTCACCATCCTGTAAGTGCGCATTCTATCTGGATTATGGTAGTTTTTGTTTTGTGTTGTCCTCTAGTTTTTTTTTTTGTGTTGTCCTCTGACTCTGTGTTTACTGTGAGGGAGTATTACAGCTGGTGTTATTCTCTGTAGATGATAGGCTTATACATCTTGGATGGTTGGGAACGATGAGTGTGAAGTAATAGTGTGTCACACACAGACACACACACACACACACACACACACACACACACACACACACACACACACACACACACATGAAAGGGGTACCCTGGAGAAAGCAAATCTGAACACATTCAAGAAAGGGGTTTACATGCAGTTATTGTTCTTCATGTTGCTTGCTATTGAGGTTAACTGTTTCATTCTTGGTTTGTCTGAATTCGAGCGCTTTCGTTGTCTGTTTCATTCTCAGCGAAGTCCTCACCTTGGCTGGAGAAAGGGTATCACGTTGCATTGCTGCTTAAAACGTGGAATGCATCATGAGGTCGGGCACTAAGTATGCTGTATGGAACTTTCTGGCGCCTTTCCTTCATTTGCCCACAACGACCGGCAAGATACGTTAAAGGCAGGGTAAAAAACATAGGGGGAGAAATCGGGTGTCAGTAGTCCTGATGGTTCATCGCATGTCATGGTGTCTATGCAGTCTTATTCTGCCCTTTGGACTTTCATGGCATGTCCGAGGGGGGGGGGGGGATGAGGATCATGGGGAAACCTCTTGTTTTCTTCTTTTCCCCTGCCAGCATCCCCTGTAGGCTGTAGCCCATGAGTTGCAGGCTGCTGTGCCTGTTGGATAGAAAAAGAGGAGAAAACAGAAACGCAAAAGGTGAAAAAAGTCCCAAAAAAACTGGTAGAGAAATGATGAACGGCATTGCAATGGAAGACAAGCGCATGCGTTGATGGTGGGAAAACGCTTCCCGTCACATGGGTGCGTTTCATAAGGCAAATCTTGTCCTGAAAGGAATATTCTGGAAACTCATGCTCTGAGCCCTTACCGGATTTTCAAAGTGTCCAGCATGTAGAGAACTGAAAATTGGACAGGAGCTTATCCAGGCGACATTGCCACAACTTGAGTTGTTCTCAGGTTCTTCCCTATTGTTTACCTGCCCTACCGTCGCATCGTGCAGGGAGGTGATCTTCCACGCATGCTCTCGTCTCCTGTACAAGTCAATTGTACATACGTGACTGCCCATCTAACCTTCTGGAGTGTTTTGTTGCCTAAATTATCTACCTTCGGACGAGGTTCGATATCATGGCTTGAAAGAGTTATGCTGCAACTTCATGTTTGTGGTTTTCTACTAGATATAGCATGTATTGGAGTTTTTATCACCATAGATCACTCGTGGAACAGGTCGTGGGAGTGAACTATTAGCGCTCAGCAGCTACTGAATATGCAGGGTGACATAGGAAGGACTTTCCTGGTGACATCTGAAGTGAATGCTGTAAGGGGTGTGAACAATACTCCAGCTGTGACTATGTCCCAAGTGGCAGAATGTGGAAATGCTTGGCGTTTTGGGAATCATCGTGAGGCTGATCAACATCTCGGTTGTTTTCTTCTCCTTGCTCAGAGATCTCCACTCGAATACTCTCAATGGAACTCTCCCTCCCGAGCTCCCTAGGGGTGGCGCTTTACAGGCATTGTAAGTACGACCAACTTCACCTGATTTTTTATTTTCAAAATGTTGTTGGGGGTGGAATAGAGCATGACGCTGTTCATGCATCCATGCATGTGCGGGTGTGTGTGTGTGTGTGTGTGTGTGTGTGTGTTATGAGTGTTTGAGCGCCTATGCCTGCACTTGCATCTCATGTAGTTGTGGATGTATCATGTGTGCAGGTGTGCATCTGGGTGTGCACATACCCTCTGTCGCTGAGTAGGTGGTTACCATTGTTTATGTGTACAGTGTGAGTACTCTCTTTTGTGTGTTTGAATGCTGTGGTGCTTTGCTGGGCGTAGGTGTACCTGCAGTCCACGGCTGTGTGTGCTCGTGCTTGATTATGTGTGTGTCTGTGAGCACTGACTGGTATGTGTGTGAATGTGTATGTTGTTTGCATGTCTGGCCGCGAGTACAAGCATGTGTGTGTCTGTGTGCGTGTGTTTGCACATGTTTGTGTGTGCACGCGTTTATTGGTAGAGATGCACGGACACACCAAAGAGTCCAGTACTTCTTTGCTGCTAGAGATGCACTGTCACACCAAAAGCACAAGGGGAGCAGCAGGCTTTTCTCGATCTGTTTCCACATGATGATGACGGTGCCTGACTATCTCGTAAGGGAACCTACTCAGTCTATTATGCATCTTGCATTTGGCTGTTTCTATTTGTTTCAGGTATATTCAGGACAACCCTTCTATTGTGGGCCCTATTCCTCCAAGCTACCAGACCATACCTACTTTCGTGTGAGTACTTCGGTGCTTGCCTACCCGAATCCTGTTTGTTGTAAATATGGATAATGAGATGGTCTGTTGACAATTGTACTTATGTGAATTTGTGTTATGATGACGAATATGGTAATATCGATGAATGGACTACCTGCTTCTCTCAGTTGGTGAATAAAGTACTTTCTCGGCAGTTTCTCCTTCACTCGTTTTTTTTTTTAATAAAAAAGAATGCAGTTTGTTTTCTCCTCATATGTGGAACAGCTGTATTTTTACTACCCTATTTTCTTCTCTCAAAATTTTTGTACTTTCCGGCATTTATTTCTTTTGCCGTTTTTTTGCTTCTTCGTTTCTTCTACGTCTTTTTACACCTTGTGTACTTTTACATCTTTCACTGCGTGTCCTTCAGTCCTTGTGAACGGTAAGTCCCATATGGTCCATTAACCTCCAGATTGTTGGGTGGATTCGATGCATCTTACTATGGCGAATTAGTTTCATGCAATGAACGTTTTCAAACTGTTTGATTGACCCTCGTCTATGTATTGCGAACCTCGATCTAGGTGCTTCTGTTTGTCTTGGTCCTGCAATTTGTTTCTCCTCTCTGGTGCCTACCATGCGTCCTCTCTGAAACACTCTTTCCGTTTGGCACATGAGATTGGTGCATCGAGTCTCCCTATGGAGTAGAATAGGTGGCAGATGCGATGGCATCAGACTAAGTTCCGTGCAAAATAATGTCTTTTATGATGGGATATCCTGTCCTGTTCCTCTGCACATTTGTGGGGTTCTGTTCTGTGTCCGGGATGCCTTAGGTCTCTGCCCAATGATGCATAAGCTTTCTCAGTGGCTCTCGCCTTTGGTCTTCTGTGAGCTCAGCAAAATTGGTGTTCTTGTTCACTTCTCCATGCATGAGCTCTTCTAGGAAGCGGTCTCCTTTTTTTTTTTGAAAAAGAAGGGCTTCTGCCTTGAAATATCATTTGTCGGACTGACCCGGCCCAGGTTATTCGGAATGGGTCGACTCTTAATCATCAGACTCCATCTGGCTTCGATCTCAGGTTCGTATTTCGACAGATGATGGGTGTACTGACCGAGCAAGGCCAGTTGGTCTTCTAGGAACCGGTTTCAGCAAGGAATCAAGCATATTCCATACCTGTCAAAACCTCAGGCTTTGCTGCTGCGAAAATTCTTATGCACAAGGAAGGCATTGTGATGAAACTCGGAAAGTAAAAAAACGAGCATATCATCCATGGCTTATCCATATCCTGTACTTGACAGCATGTTGTCTTGTGCAATTAAAAGGTGGTCAACTGGTTTACAAGCCCATCGAGAACTTCATTCTTATGATCATATCTTCTTTTCGCAGCTGTCATTTATCCTTGTCATGTGCTGGCTCTCATTTTGCTCATTTTTCGGCCTTCCGTGTGCACTTGAGCCTTGCTCTATGACTTTTGTGTGCCAATTTGCTAATTGTGCGGGCTTTTCTCTTGCACTCAAGTCTTGGTCAGTGAAAAAGAGTAGTCTCGATGGAGTCACTCGGTTCTGCAAGTTGCCATTATTTTGCCTTTTTTTTGTACTCCTGGGGACACTACCACGGTGTATTGTTCGAAGATAGGGGTTCGGTTGGGTATGGCTCAGTAGAGCCACCTATCATTTGGTAGCTTGTAGATTGTGTCGATAGTAGTCTGTATATCGTTTTCAGTTCTTTGATTCTAAGCTCTCTTCAACGGCCGGGAAGGTCTCTTTCTCAGCTTGGGTAAAGGCTGGATGTGTCAGCAGGCCCTGTATATTCGGATTGTGATGTGGACATGAACCATGGATGATTGCCTGCATCGTCTGGCTTAGGTTGGTGGAAAACGGCTGTCGTACAGCGAAGGGAAGTAATGTGTTTCCTTGCCTTTGATCAAATGGTACAGTGCAATTGAGAGGGCATGGATTTCCTGAAATGAATATTGCCTCTTGTTGATGGAAAGCATGGCTTCGGTGTCACAATGGATTGTTCGCCTGCTAATTAATAATTAGTAGATTTTAACAACTGATTTCACACTTATCAGAGTCCGATGGTTGTCATTGGCCTCGCCTCACTCGTGAGTTGCAAGGGCTCTGGCTCGTACCTCTACTGACTGGTGTTAAGTGTTTCTCTTCTTTCTCACTTTCATTGCTGCCCACGAGGACTAGCGCCATTTCTTAATCTGTTCGCTACAGAAATGCTTACCTTGAAAGGACCTTAACTGTCGCTGTGGCTGATTCAGAAGGGTCTGAAAAAGTACTTACTGCATTGGCAATACACTCCTGGAGGACCTTACGATGTTAAAAAGCATAACATGTCGAGAAGTTTCTGTTGAAGCTTGAGTCATCCTCTGGGTTGACCTCTGCTCCTGATGAAGTCAATAATTTTCTTGCTTGTCCCCTGCTCCTACTCCCTGATCTCTTTCCCCCTTATCCTCTTTGCTCTTCTTGCGGTACTTGGCTGGCCCATCCGACCTATGCTGCCACAGTCTGCAGATTTGCAAAGCAAATGCTCATCCGATTTGGCTTCTGCTGCTCTTTTTGCAGACCCTTATTTCATCCTCTGTCCCTTCCCCTGTTACCTTCGATGTCCTGGCTGCCTCTTCCCGTGTCCTGTACTCACACTTACGCATACATTTCAGAGCAAGGTCTCATAAATATGTGGGCACTTTTTTTAGGTTCACATGCATGGGGAGGTCTTGGCCCTGCATGCTTGTTTATCCCTTATTCTAACATCTCTTTCTCCGTTTCTCTCCTCCACCGTGTCCCTTGCCAGTCCAGCCTGCCTACCACTTCCTTGTTTTCCTTTTTCTCTTCGGGTTCTTTGGACTGCTTTCCTTATACCGAAGGGATGAAGGAATTAACCTAATGAAATGATGATTACAAACATGTGGTGTCCGTTGTGATCGTCAATGGCAACATACGTAGAGGAAAACATCGGAGTCAGCCAACCAGAGTGGTGATATTATGGCCATTGCTTCCGGTGCATGTGGATGGTGTTGTCCAGAATGTATGCATGAGCTGGTTGGTGTTTGCTGACACGTTCTCGTTATCGTTGATAAGACAAGTGATTGAGTGGGCCTTTCAGATGAGCAAATGTTGGTTGGAGTTGGAGATATCGGATATGGTACAGTGCGGTCATTGATGGAGTTGTCACCGTTGAGGAGAGCATTGGGTGACAAATGCGATGAGAAAGGATGAAAGCTGAGGTTATTACCTGATCGAGTGGTTCCGTTGCTGATGTTAAAGGGTTGTGGGATGTGTTCTGTTTGCAACTTCGCATCCTATTCATGGTTGGGCTCTGCAGTGCTTTCTTGATCTTGAGTCCTGTTTGAATCCGTTGGTGAAGTTGTTTCTCACTTTTTTTTTTTTTTTTTTTTTTTTTTTTTTTTTTTNTTTTTTTTCAAGATGTGTTCTTGGGTCAGTGAAGCCGTGCAGCTGTGATTGACCTTATTTCTCTTTGAATGACTTGTGCACAGCTTCTAATGAATCTCTGACTTGTGTAGAACATTACATTTGTAATCGTTAAGTTAGGGAGGGGTTACAATCCTTGGTGTCTATGGTGGTCATGTTTCGTGGAGGCAACGAGTGATGTCGGGCAGCAGTGATGGCCCAATGAATGTGCTAAAGAGCCCCGGAGTCCTTACTGCTATTTCATGAAAGGATATTCAATTCTCAAATGAAAAGTTTGTTCTTTGAAGTTTGAATCTTGTTGCCGGTCTCTGTTCAGAACATTGAAGTTTTTTGCAAAAACAGTTTCGCCTGTTTGAGATTTCGGTGACACGTGGTCCCTTCGATGTTGTGTGGGGGGCCGGGGGCTGTTTTCTGTCTTGTTCGATCCTTTTCTGAAGGAATGAATGTGCTTGGACAATCTTTGGGAAAGAATGGCAAATCTCAGAAATGCATGGAGTTTGTTTGAATATGGGTGAAAGGGATGTTAGCGAGGGAGTGATGTGAAGTGTGTTTTCCTTTCTCAGGAAGCTTCTGTGCCCGTGCAAATGCTAGGGAAAAACAAATTCCTTAGTTTTGAGTCTGTTGCTTGTCAAACAGAAGCGTATAATTCAGAGTGGAATGGTGAATCGTTTTATGTTTTGCCAGAGCTGTGTTGAGAATCGCTGAACAGCTCTGCAGCCTTCTAGCGGTGGTAACATCCAAGATGGATTACTCGAGTACGAAGATGGGTTCATTATGTTTTTGTTTTTAATAAAACAACATTCAAACTCGATCACTCGATCACGAACCTGGATTCTACAACTTTTGCCCCTTGTTTCTTCTCCTCCCGTGCAGTTTATAGAGATCGTTTTGTGAGGATACTCCAAATGAGGGTCGCCCTGGAGGACTCCTCGTGATTGTAATGCAATTCCAAGGTGTATGTGTAGGTTGTATGATGGGTTCATCTGCCCGGGTTTCTAACCTGGTGTCTTTCAATCGCGAAAGCAACGGCCTTGGCATCTATCTATTTGTAAGGGAAAATGCATGTTATGATCTTTTATACCAGCAGACTATCTGCTTATGGTGCAGTATGCTGTGTCCTCTTTGCTTCTGTTTGGTATGTAGTGAGAACACATGACCCCTGCTTTTGTTTGGTTGTTGTAGGAAAATGTTGAAGTGGTGAAACAGGGCACTGGAATCCACTGTGACTAACACGTATTGGCTGTTTTTTATTCCGCTAAATGTTCGGCAGGAAAGACCCGACGCTGGTTTACGAGACATCAGGTGCACAACCTACCCATCCTGGGACTTCTTCTGCCCTTGTGTCTCCCCTTCGTACATCTCGTTCTTTGCAGCTGGATCCTTCTGTACCACAGCAGTCCTCCGTTCCTGGTCCCTCTACCCCTCAATCTGCTTCGCCAGCTACTCCAAACCCCTCTGGTTCACCACCCAGCAATCCAACTGCTTCGCCGCCCGCTGACGCCGCTGCTGTCCAGCCTCCAGCAAATCCATCTCCACCCAGCAATCCATCTGGCTTGACACCCAGTGCTAGCACTAGTCCCCAACCTCCCGCAAATCCATCTCCAACTGCACCTGTGGATCCCTCTGCTCCACCGACGGGAACTCAAGCACCAGCAAATCCGTCTGGTTTGCCAGCTGGTACTCCATTCACTCCTGGACAGTCGATGAATCCAGTGGGTCCTCCTTCGCAACCTGGGAATCCATCGATTCCCCTACCTTCGCCTCCTGGGAATCCATCTGGTCCTCCCCCCCAGCCTTCTGGGAATCCAGCTGGCTCATCCCCAGGCCCATTGAGTCCAGAATCGAATACCGCAGCGTCCAATCCTTGGAGCCTACCAATAAGTCCTCCCACTGGTGCATCCGATCCAGGTGCCAGGCCTGCTGCCTCCCAGCCTCCAGTCCCCAGCATTCCACAGCCGAACCCTGAGAACCCTAACCAGCCGCCAGAACAGTCAGCCCCACAGCCAGGTCCAGGGGCTGCTGCCTCGCAGCCTCCGGCGGCCAGTGTTCCAAATCCGAATCCTCAGGTTCCTAACCAGCCACCACAAGAGTCAGCTCCATCAGGAAACCCAGGAGAACAATCTGGGCATTCTTTGCCAGCACCGGCGTCTGTTGGCACAACAACAATAAGTGGGCCCCCTCCCACAGGAGGTGAGCAGCCTACAGCAGGCACTACAACCGAGGCTCCTCAGGGCTCACAGCCTGGGCAAGGCAGTAGCCCGCCTCAGCAGGCATCACAGCCTCAGGAGTCGATAAGTACATCTGCCCCTCAGCAGCCTTCCCAACCTCAGGGGCCAATAAGCACTCCGCCTGAGCAGCCATCTCAGGCTCAGGGGTCAATAACTACCCCCCCTCAGCAGCCATCTGAGCCTCAGGGGTCCGGCAGTAATCCTAGCTCCCTGGTGTTGCCAGGGCACGAAGCTCGTGCTTTGCAGCCATCGCAGCCACAATCGTGGGAGCCCCAGGGATCAGCAAATCTGCAAGCCCAAAACAACCCTCCCCCCCTGCCGTCGCAGTCGCCACCATACAATCCTCCCCAGCCATCACAGCCGCAACCAGCGACTCCTCCCCAAACTCAGGGATCATCAAATCCTCAACCACAAAATCCTGCCCAGCCATCGCAGACGCAACCGCAAAATCCTTCCCAGCCATCACAACCAGGACCTCAGAATCCTCCCCAACCACAGGGACCTGTCCAGCCATCATCGCAGCCGCAACCGAATAATTTTCCACAGCCATCGCAACCAGAACCTCAGAATCCTCCCCAACCTCAGGTATCAGGAAATCCTCTATCCGCAAGCCAAGGCACTCCCCCTTACCAACCATCACAGCCTCAACCAGGCAATCCAACACAGCCATCAGAGCCCCCACCATATAATCCTTCCCAGTCATCGCAGCCGCAGCCGCAGCCGCAACCGCAACCACAACCGCAACCGCAACCGCAACCGCAACAGCAACCGCAACCACAACCGCAACCGCAGAATCCTCAGGGATCAGCAAATCTTCCATCCCCTAGTCAAGGCACTCCGTGGCAGCCACAACCTGAAAATCCTCCCCCGCAGCAGCAACCAGTAAATCCTCCCCCCCAGCCATCGCAGCAGCAACCAGTAAATCCTCCCCCCCAGCCATCGCAGCAGCAACCGTCTAATCCTCCCCCCCAGCCATCACAGCAGGCACCGTATAATCCTCCCCCCCAGCCATCACAGCAGCCACCGTATAATCCTCCCCCCCAGCCATCGCAGCCGCCACCGTATAATCCTCCCCCACAGCCATCGCAGCCGCAACCATTTGATCCTCCCCCCCAGCCATCGCAGCCGGCACCATATAATCCTCCCCCCCCGCCATCGCAGCTGCAACCGGAGAATCCTCCCCAACCTGAGGGATCAGCAAATCCTCCACCATCTTACCCTCAAGGGTTAGTAAGTACTGCTAGCACTCCAGTATCACAGCTGCCACCAGGGAATCCTTCCCAGCCATCGCAGCCGCAACCTGAAAATCCTTCCCCGGAATCGCAGCCGCAACCACAACCAGAAAATCCTCCCCAACCATCGCAGCCGCAACTGCCACCAGAAAATCCTCCCCAACCATCGCAGCCACAACCGCAACCAGAAAATCCTCCCCAGCCATCGCAGCCGCAACCAGAGACTCCTCCCCAACCCCAGCCACCGGCAAATCCTCCTCCTTCAGCAGGCCAAAACGACCCTACCTCCCAGGCATCTGTTCCTCTTCCCCAAACATCTCAACCTCCTAGTCAAAACGTCCCTCCTGAATCTCAGTTGTCTCAACCTCAGGGACCATCCAATCCTCCTCCCAGCTCTGGAGAATCTCCCTTGTCAGTGCCACCTCTGCCTCCTGCACCTGATGCTCAGCAGCCTGCCTCGTCAGTCTCACCTCTGCCTCCTGCATCTGATGCCCAGCAGCCTGCCTCGTCAGTCTCACCTCTGCCTCCTGCATCTGATGCCCAGCAGCCTGCCTCGTCAGTCTCACCTCTGCCTCCTACATCTGATGCCCAGCAGCCTAACCCTCAATCTGAAAACCCAGTCCCATCGTCAATACCTCCACAAACACCACCGCCACCTTCTGTATCTGAGTCTAGTGGGAGTGTGTCTTCTTCATCCCAGCCTCCCCCAGTTTCATCTGCTGAGTCATCTCAATCACCACTGTCAAATGTCGGCTTGCAACCTTCCTCACCTAACACTGCCCCGTCTTTCTCATCAGCAGCACCTAGTGAGCCCCCACTTAATACTGGTAATCCAAGTAACGACTCAAGCGGAGCAATTGGCAGCCAAGCTTCACCACCACCTGTATCGCCGAGCGAAGGAGGATCTGGTAGCCAAGTTCCATCACCTCCTGTGACGTCGAGCGAAGGAGCTGGGCCCCAAGTCCCGTCACCACTCGGATGCCCAGCAGAGTGCCAGGATGGCAGAGTGCGAGTGAATGGTACCTGCGACTGTAAATTTGCCATAACAGCTACCATCAGACTTGTGAACTACACTTATGACGACTTCAACTCTTCAGAGCAAATGAGGACGGTAAGCACTCGTATTCATCTCCAAGGGTCTACCATTATGTGGCCTCTTGGGCTCCCCGACTGCTGTTCCAGTAAGGCAATCCAGCTAGTTGCTCTTTCTGTCTCTCGCTGTCTCTCCTTCTGTGGCTAAGGAAGCTGTTCTCTCTCTGTCTCTGTGGTCGAGGAAGCTGTCCTCTGTGCTAACATATTCAAAAGTGTCGTTTACTCTTCAGGCAGCTGCTTTTTGGGGTGCGTGCTCAGAAGAACATTGTGTTCTATAGGAACCGCGAGCGTCTGTTTGCCAGACCTAAAACATTGGACTCTCTCTCTCTCTGTTTAGATGTTTTCGAACAAGGATATTTCAGCAGATATTGTTTTTTTTTTGGCCGGCCATTTCTTACCCCCTCGAGACGAGATTTGTAGCATCAAGTGCTTAGTGGGCACTGGTGTGGAACTGTGTAGAGGAACATAGCTGTGGTAGTGTGGCTGCACTTGGTCCTTCACACTTCCTCTGAAAAGATGTGGTCATATGGACTGAAGGCAGGGAGAGAAGAGCGAGAAGAAGAATAATAGTGATAATAAGAAGAAGACGAAGAACCAAAAGAGGAAAAGAAGGAAAAAGAAGAAATGGTGAGTGCTGGCATAGTTGGCAAGAGCAACGATGGTAATTGTTGTGAGGAACCTGTTGCCTGATCTGCTCGCAGGAGGTGAAAGATCATATTGCTGCCGGCTTATCTGTGGCAAGCACACAAATACAGTTTGTCAACTGGACAGAAGGCAGCGTCATTTTAACATTCTATGTCCTCCCTCCGGCAAACAAGGGTGCTCTAAACGCCTCACAGGAGTCTAGCATTCGCCAAGTGATCGGTGACCCAACTGGAAACAATCTGACTACTTTGGACCTTGGAACCGTCGAGACTCGAGACGTAATTGCTTCACCAAGTGTTCTTGATGGTGAGTGTTTGTCAGAAGTTTTGTGAGCCTAAGTTTCAGTTTGTAACGTCTCACAAGCTCAGGCATGCAGCAAGATTTTGTGTTTCATGTTACGTGTTATATGTCATATGTTATATGCTATATGGTATATGTTATATGGTTATTATATACACAACATAGCGCTCCGTGCCCAATTCTTGCTTTTCGTGCTGTTTTGGCCTTTGGATTCTGTAGCGGGCGGCAGCGATCGCTCTAGAGATCGATTTCTAACGAATTGAAGCACACTTAGAATGTTGACACGTAATCCTTTTCTGCTTCTCCTTACTTCGTGGGGATCCGACAGCCGCGGTTTAGTCTTGCTATCGAACGGGTTCACCTTGATAGCAGGATTACGGTGTCGGAGCTTTGTGCAGGGCCGAATCGGGCACCCGCTTTGACATCATCCAACATCCTGGAAAGAAATAAGAAAAGAAGAGTGGAGCAGCAAAAAAGGGCCTCCCTCTGCCGCTCACCAAACGTGCAACATGGGAATGAATTTTCAGGTAGAACATGGAAGGATGCGCCGCACAATGCAAAACCCGTGGCATTTTCAACTACTCCTTTGCGGCTCCCCTGTCTTCTGAGTCGTATTATACACTTCTTGTAGTCTTCTTGTGGTCGTATGTCCTGTTTCCTCGTGTCAGAGCTTTGTGGCAGAGTGGCAAGGAGGCCACGGGTGAAAATAAAATGGGTCGGGAAAAAAAAAAAAAGAAGTGCCGGCCTGCTTTTGTTTGTGCAGAACGGAAACCTCTACACATCAGCGAGCACTGCCAACCATCTGCACCACTGACCCTACCACACTTGGCATACCCATGAACTGTTGAGACATAGGTCACAGTTTGAACCACTAAAATGAACTTCTGAGACCTTAGTCCAGAATTACCTGGGGCCAGCGTTCTTTTTTAGACCTCTGCAAGCATAACAGGTGAGAAACGGTCCAAATTAAAAACCCGGCGGCGGCAACGGCCTCCAGCACACGCATGCACAAACAAACCTCCACCACATCGGCGATGTCCCCGACACACACGCACAGAAGGTCCGCACCCCTCTCACACATCCACGAGCACACCAACCCACAAGAGTACCCAACACCCACCCGCACGTATGCGCGAACCCCGCCGCCCATCCCCGAACGCGCACGCATGAGTCGGTTAAAGTCCGACGAAACAGTCTGGCACAGTCATGCGTTTTTGGAGTGTATAGCGAATATGACAACACATGCACATACACACACGCCAACACACAAAACACAACGCACAGTGAGGTACAGAGTAAGTTACACACACACACACACACACACACACAGAGAGAGAGAG